CCTTCCTTAGGCAAGGTCGTCTAATATGTAAAGCGTCCTCCATGTATGCAACATCGTCCTCTGACCATCTGCATGTATGGAACCATGCTGGTGTTAATTCAATCCTTCTGTTTCTATTCAGGTGCACTGTTGACTTGGTGATTTACTTGGGCTGCTCATTTCGCACTCAACAAGATGTAAGTATGTACACCACTTAAGTCGCACACTATAGTGTGTCGTGGTTGGTTACTTATAGTTCATTTCACTAATTCAATTTGTTGTTTTTTTTTTGTTGTTGTTGTTATTGTTGTTTTTGGGGGGAGGGGGATGTTCTGGGATCGATTGCTCCCAAGTGTTTCGGGACGTCCGGCGTTGTTCCGTCTTTGCAGTCACACCAAACACCAAATATCCTGCATGGCTTGATATATCATGGTGTCGGCAAAAACCGTCGGATATTCTTAAGTTGACTATTACTTGAACACCGATTGTTAATTCTAGATGAAATTCCTTCTGAATTTGCCTTCCGTGGTTTGCACAATCCTTCTTTTGATGAGTTACGCGATTTTCCTGTACCAACAAATACAATCGACGTATCGTGGCAATAATGCACATCCAACATGCAGAGAGATCTTCGTAAGTATCTCGTTTTATACCTTAACACAGTTTTACGTCTTTGTACGTATCTCTAAAACAACTGTTTTATTTTAAAGTTGGCCAATGGGGAGAAAGATGAGGCAGTAGCGGAGGACATCGATTGGGACCATGTCTCGCTGCTTCTAGCAAACAAAGCTCATAGAAGAAGGGTAGACAAAACATGTTTTTCTGTTTTCAATAAGTATTGAACGATCAATCATGTATACATGCAGGGGCGGATATAGGGGGGGGTGAACTGGGTGAACGTTCACCCCCCTTTTTCCTGGATAAATTGAATATAGAAATATTCATATTAAGGAAATAGGGAAATAATTGGTTGATATTTCGATAAACAACACTTTTCAAAAGGACTAACACTTTTTAGCGTCTCGGGCATCTAAGAACACACATGCATTCGCGGAGCTTTGGTTCGTTTGGCGGGAAAATTAAATATGTTAACTCTTAAAAAATCAAAAGTCACTCCCCTAAAAAAAATCCTGGATCCGCCCCTGACATGTATTTCCGTGGCAGAGTCCAAGTACAACACGAACCTTGGTATGTCACTGTGAGACGAAAACTTTACGAAACTCGTTCAGGTAAAGTATAATTTTGTCACATAGATAATGACCAGTAGCGATCTTT